ACAGTGCAAGAGGGGGGCAGCGTATGGGATTATCCAGACCAATGTTTAATTAATCATCCGTCTGTGCCACGGCTCACGGAAACAACACGCTGTGCTTGCCCTGTGCAGCAGCCCGCCAGCAATTCAAACCTGGCTCTGGAGCAGGGCTGGCATCACCCGAGGAGCAAAGGTTCAAAGACATATTAGCCTTTGCGCTTAGGAGGGGCTGGATAATGAGTCCACATGTATAAATCCGTGTCTTGACAGAAATAACTGACCCACCCAACAGGGGATAACGCTTTCCTAGGGAGGGACAGAAATGGCCTGCTTGACTAACTTCTGTGACATGGAGCTGCCTTGCCCAGGCCGTGCCAGGGGCACGTGGATGGAGCTACCGCCAGCCCTGTAACAGACTTGCCTCGGAGCTAGTTGCTGTGTCAGTCACGTCGCCTCTGAGCCACCCCAGTGCATTAAGCTCTAGGATGAAGCCCAGGGAGTCAGGGCAGGGGCCAAGGTGGCCAAGCGGGATGGATGCAAACTTTTTTTTTTTATTAATAGATTTTGTGCTCCGAGTCAAATCAGTTCCAAGTCACATTGATTGAGCAGAACTTAGTTGTTCCAAAAACCGTATCGATTGAGCAGGCAGAAATCAATCATTTTAAACACCATGTATCACGCTACAACCGGCAAGCATCCTCTATCCCAGGCTCCCACGCTGGGACTTCAGATACTCCCAAATCCATTGGCAAGCATCCTATGTGCAGGCCCAAGCCTGGAGGTCTTGGGATTTGGATGCCCCCACTTGATCTTAGCCCACAAAAGGCCGGGACACTTGATCTGAGCCAAAAGGCAGGCAAGTAGGAGGGATGCAAACAAGCAAAGAGCAGCAGGGAACCACTTTACCCACCTCCAAGCCAAATTGTGTCTCTCTTTATTAACTCTAGCAACCAATGACCCACATGGAGAAAGCCAGAAAGAGCTTGCATTGGCAGAGAGGTGCTGGGACAGGGGTGCTAACTGGTTAAATTGAATACATACGGGGTGGGACATCCTCCTGGGATTCTGTCCCAGCCTCTGTGGCTTTGACTGCTGCCATGATTTCCTCTTTACCACTTTCAAGCTGCAGCAGCTCTAAAAAGTTCAGGTCTTTGTCCAGCAGAATATATGAAAGGCTCACGAACAAACTTTAAAAATGGATGAAGGGGGTTAGGTTGTAGTCGTGTTGGTCTAAAGACATAGGCAGACAAGGTTCTTTGGGTGAATCTGATATCAAACTGGATGAACAAAACAAAAATGGATGAACACACCTTAAAAATGGAATCTCCTTTAAAGGAGAAAACCATGTGAAACCGCGGCTTTTCCCTTGCAGGCTGGCAGAGTTCCAGGCTGAGAGGGGCTGCTTGGGGCCCCCCATGACCCATGCACTGGGGGTCCAGGGGCAGGGGACAGTGGGTTGGGAGTAAGGGGCACTGGGTCAGGACTGCCCATTGATGTTTACAAATGGGTCCTGGTACAAAAAAGGTTGAGAACCACCATGCATGCTGCATGCCCCCAGAGGCTGGGGGGGCAAGGCGAGCTCCCACAGGCGGCCACAGTGCTGTAGATGGCAAGAGGGTTGGGGGTGGGGGTGAGCGCCAACCGGTGGTCAGTGACCACCCACAGACACCGCCGGCAGTGTTGGCAGCAAGGGTGGGGAGTGTGGTGAGCGGTGAGCGCCCACAGACATCGCCGGCAGTGTTGGCAGCGCCTATCGCAGGGGGTGCATGTGCACCCATGTGCACCCCTACGCATCGCCAATGAGAACCACTGTGCTAGGAGGCCTGCTAGAGCTAGGCAAATCCAAGACCAGGACACCAGCACCAGGTCCAGGGTGTGAGATTAAAGAGCAGATACTTGAGGCCTTGACCAAAAGGCTGCTCTTGCTGGTGGGAGAGAGGGAGCACCAACTGGGAAAAGCTTGCAGGTTACCCCAGAGAGGGCATAGCACTGTCCCCTGAGCTGGCTCCACAGTGAGAGCTGCTAGGAAAGAAAATGAGAAATACAGGGAGGGTTAAGAGCCCCGCATTAGAGCCAAAGCTGCTTAATTAGCAGCCTAGCAGAGTGAGCTGCCTTCAATCACTAATCAGCTTGCACAGCGCGCTCCCCTGTGAGGCTCCATGCTGCACGGCTGCATTCCCGCTGCCAAAGGGGCACAGCTCCCCCACACTCCCTGCACACAGAGCCCCAGACCTCTGGCATGGGGGAAGGAGAAAGCAGCACATACAGTTGTGGGAGGCAGCAAAGATCTTCCTGACCTTGGCATGAGTCTACAGCACCTGTCCTTCTCCTGGCAAGTGGATGGGGGCATAGAACTGGATAGAGCAGTGCCAGCTGGATGGCTCTAGGCCCTCTGCTGCCAAGGCTCAGCAGAAGAAGGGGCCTGTGTGTGGCATGAAGCCCCTTTTCTGTCCCCTTGTCAGGCAGAAGAGGGCAGGACATAACGGCTCCTGCCAGTGGGGAGAGCAGCAAACACAAGCTTGTCCTCTTCGGACAACCAAGCTGCAAAGGGCAGTCTCAGTGAGTGCAATCTGTCTGGGCCACCAAAGAGCTCTGTGCATCCTCAGCCAGTCTCACTGAGAGCTAAGTACCAAGCAAGGACCCCTGTGTCGACTGTAATAAAGAGCAACCCTCCACCAGCTCTGCAGGAGTAAGCCACCCCAAGCCAAACCCAGGTCAGGGCAGCTCCTGCCTGCTCTGCAGTGGTGAGACATCTCCCTGCCAAAACCAGCCCCATGAATCTCATATGAGCTTGCAAGGGAGGCAGCTGTGAGCTGAGACTGTGTTGGCATGGTTCCTGCCAGCTCACCTGGGGAAAGCAAGCCCCAAAGGAGGCTAATTCAGCACGGTGCTTTCTAGCTAAACTGTAGGGAAGAACTCCCACCAAGACTGGCTCTGTGTGGCCCTGACCATCTCAGCCACGGACAGGTGGCTGCGGTAAGCACAGCTAGGCAGGACGAGCATGGGCCCAGCTGGGGAACTGACACCGGCTCTGCACAGTCCCTGCCACCTGAGCCAAGGACAGATGCTGGTTTTGACTCACCTTGAGGATCTGTCTGCAGACCCCAAGACAGTCCTTGTTTGAGGCCTGCTACAGAAGTCCAGGACTCTCATTCAGAGTCCAGCTGTCATACAGGGGACTCTGCTGCTGGGTTAATTTGGTACACAGGAACTGCCGGACTGGACCAGACCCACGGTCTTTCAGAACCAATATGCTGCTCCAGCAGCAGACGCTTTGGAAAGAAAATGTAAGAAATGTAAGAAACCACAGCAGATAAATAAGGAATAATCAGTTCACACAAACAAAAGTCTCAGCCTAAATCCTAGTAGCTCGTTGGTCTCAATCCCAAATCATGAGACTTCCCACTTTTAACACAACCTTTTTTCAGTATTCACTCTTCTAATTCCAGATATTTTTGTT